GGGAACGGGCAATGGCAGCGTGCAGCGTGCAGCGTGCAACGTGTAACGTGCAACAGTGCCTCCTCCTGGGCGTGCGCTGATGGATTTGTCAAGTTTGTGGGTCAAGCGTTACGTTCTTCACTATAGACATACATACATATCTATGTATGTGTGCATATATGTATTCTTTTTGAATATCCGCCTCACGATGATTACTCAAAATCACAGCTAAAGTTGCGTTCCATGATCGGTAGGCAGCTGCGCAGTCGGCAACTAATTGCAAGAGACAACTAAAAATTTGTACGTTTAACAAATATTTATGAGTGCTTCAGAGCTTAGTAGTTGCTGCTGTGAAAGTGTGGGAGAATAGTCCATGAACTAGGCTGTAAATTGAAAATTGCGAAATTTTACTTGCAAATCATAAAATCAATAATTGAACATCTACGCATAAAACTAAAAATTTAATAGATTTTCAAAAATGCAATCAGTAAAATTTAAAGCTGCTGTTATTTAAAGCTGCTGTTAACTCTAATTAGATTTTTAACAGAATTAAAATGCTTCAAATCAGCAAAATGCTAAACGTCTGTTATTTACAACAGAGCTGTTAAGCTTTTAGTGTGACTGTTAAGCAAGAACATATAAAATGCATTAAGGGAAAAAATAGTTTTGCGCTTCGTGTGCAGACTTAAAATATACATACATCAATCATTAATTGGCTAAATGCGGGCATATACAATAATATACATGATTTTATATATATTTATACATATTTACACATCTTGAGTCACGCAATCTTTCGAGGCGTTGCCCAGACAGTTGAAAGTCTTTTGTGGCTGTGCCCAAGTCAAATGGCTTGGCCAAAGAAGGCGTTGAGTTGCCCTCATCATTAGAACCACATTTTTGTTCACAGTAATGCAAATATTGACGATGACGTCACAATGTCACAGCGTGTCATCGGCGGGCATGCAGCCCAACCCCTAAACGAGGCGCAACCCTCGACTAAGGGCAGGCGCCAAGGACGCAGAAAAACTGCGCGAAAAAACTGCAGCTGATTTGATTTCTTTTTTTTTTCTGTGTGTTTGGTTTGCTTTTCATTTGGCTGTCAGCATCGTGGGAATGTTTGAGCAGCAACCCTGGAGGCAACCCTTCGACTTGGACTTGGACACAGCTGCAACAAATCGCAAGTCCGTGGCTGGTCAAGAGGCGGCAGCAGCAGCAGCCGGCGCAGCAGCTGGGAGTACAGTCTTGGTTGGGATTGATGATGGCCTAGGATGATTGGCTGGAATGGCAGTCGCTGCATATGTCACTGGATACAAATGTATCTATAGCTCGAAATCAGTCCAATTAAAAATAATAAAGGCGAAACGCAGCTTGTTAGTGCGCTCTACTCGGCTCTACTCTCTGGCTGCCAAGATGGCAGATTGCACCCCAAAAATAAACAATAGGACTCCACATTTTTCCTCTTTTCCTCTCGTATGTTTTGTGGTTAGCTCAATGCGCGTGGGAAAGCGTCGTTCCATCCATAGGCAGGCAACCGGGCCTGGGCACCTGCCGCGCCCCAAGCGTCAGTCGACCATATTTGGTTTACATATGGCCCAGACTCTGCAAAAATCGTGATCAAATCAAATGCCCAGCCATAAAATTGTGGAATTCTAACATTAACATAATTTGAGCGCAACACGAACAAGCTATCTGCCCAGACAGCGGGTCAGCAGAAGGGTATTGGAGGGGTATGGAGGCGGGAGCGCAGTATTGCCTAGGCGCCTGACAATTCTATTTGGCACGAGCTCATTAAACACCATTTATATGCAACATGAGCCATGACTGGACCAAAACTGCAGCCGACTACCGATCGACGATCGTTGGACGTCGAACGTCGAGCGTCGAGCGTCGAATGTGGATTGTCGATTGTCGATCGTCGGACAGTCAACAGCGAAAACCTCTCCAAGCTCTCGTTGCGAGTCAATGGCTTTTGCTTAGCTCGGCTCGGCTTGGGTTGGCTTGGCCTGTTGACAAGTTGTTGACGCTGGCAAATGATTTACTGCCTCCAGTTGGCTCCCGGCCAGCAATAACAACAACAACAACAACAACGAGAACGAGCACTGCTTTCGGTCACATGCCAAATTCAAGCAACAACGCACAACAAGTGCCAACACGTGGACACCCACTTCTCTAACGATTGCGTTCCTACAATCATGCTTGATCAATAACTGTTTAGATTATGAAATAGTCTAGGGAAACTAAATAATTGTCCGACTTGCATATACTATCTAAAAACTGTCAACGTTGCCTGCCATCCGATTTTAATCAGTCTGCAACAGAAGTGTGCCAGCCATATGGCTCGATACGAATTGAAGTTGGAGTTGGAGTTGAAGTTGAAGCTGAAGTTTGGGCTCAAGGATTTTGACAGCTAAGCTGACATGGCAAAAATGCATAAGTGAGCACGGTGGACACATTATGACGGACTGTTACACGACATATGTATGACCATGTTTAGGAGGGGAGAGGCAGTGGACCAGGTGAATATGGCAAAAAGCTCGAATGCAATGAAACAATCAATCAACGCGCTGAAAAGGGGCTTGTCTAGAGCTGAGCTTGAGCTGAGCTGGCGGAAGGGAGGAGAGGTAGAGCAGTAGTGAGCGTAACGGTAACTCCAAAAAGGCACAAAATCAAATTACCAGCCATGATTAATCAATCAACAGTTGTTTGCTTGCCATACAGTAAAGCCTCAGCTCAATGCGATAGCCAACACGATCTCTGCTTCGCTTGGCCTCGCTAGTGGGTGTGTATATGACTCCGTCTCCGGCTGTCTCTCTGTGTGCGTGTGTGTTGGCCAAGTGGGTGCGTTCTCACAGCTGGATGCCAATACAGACAATCACGATCACACACACACACATGCACACACACACCTGTGTTGTAGACACCACGTGTGCGTTCCAGGCAATTGCAAATCAATGCTTCGTTGCGGCAGGAGCTCGCCTTTGGCTGTAGCCTCTTCCCTAAATGGTGCGATCTTACCTGGCCGGGTCGTGCCAAAAATGGGTTTGCAACTGGAATTCGCTTTTAGTCAAACAGCCGCAGCTGCAGCTAGCTTTGAGGCGCAGGTGGCAATTGGCAAGCAGCTGGCAACAGGCAACAGGCAACGGGCAACGGGTAACGGGCAACTGGCAACTGGTGTGAACAACTAGAAAGTTTTTTAGTCGAGCTGGAGCTCGTGAGAATCAGTGCAGCATAATTTATTGGTTGCGCGACCAATTCAATTTATGGCCGACTAATGAAAATTTGACAAATAGCAAATGGCCAAGCAATTTCATTCTAGCCCAGGCCAATAACATTCATCATGCCGCTGCGCAAACGTTTCCGCATAGAAATTGATTGACAACTGGAGGAGGAGGAGCTGCAGTTCCAGTTCGAGTTGGAGCTGGAGTTGGAGTCGCAGTCGGTGAGCCAAAATGGCAACGGCAGCCAAAACACGTCAATTTCGAGGCCTGCCGATTTATGGGCGCCCAGCTTCAAGCCAAGTCGTGACCCGCGTGCATTGAACTTTGTTGTTGTTGTTGTTGTAGTTGTTGCTGTTGCTTTTTGTTGTCCGATCTTGTCTGGGGTATGAATCGAGACGCTTTGAAATCTACCAGCACGAAATGCAATTTCCAAAAGAGTAGAAGAAGAAGGAGAAAAAAAAAAAAAAAAAAAAAACGCTATTGTGGGAGCTGAACATAATGAAGCCGTTGGTCATTGGCCAAAAGGTTTGTTTGCTCTGTCAATCATAATTTGTGTGCTTCTTTTGCAGTTTAATGTGTGCGCTGCACTCGTTTTCCCACATTTTATGGACGGCTGCCCCTATTGCTCTGGCCCTGGGAAAATCTCTGGCGTAACTGGAGGTTCGCTTGTTGCGCAACAATTACTCGGCTTTTGGTTTGGTTTGGTTTGGCTTGGCTTGGTTTGCCCTGGCCGAGTCCGTCAACATGACCAATTGGCAGTCCAGTTGGCAGTCACAACCCCCACGCAGCCGGCGGCAACACCTTCGCTCTGCTTACGCTCTGCTGCACTCGCTTCCTAACCGAGGTGCAAATGCAACTGTCGAGGGGTTGACTGACTTTTGAATTGTTTTACGCTTGTTTTTCGGTCAAGTCGAAAACGGAACTGCGCTAGATTGGCCAAAAATGTGTGCTCGTCCTCTAACCAATTTTCACACATTGTGTACGCAGGTGCTTAACAAATATTCAGGTAATATGTTAATTTTTGTATGCTAAACAGCGGAAATTAAATTCAGTATTTTGACTTGCAACGCTTCATTGAACTTTGACTTTGAGCATATATGTAGTTTACCCATTCACATAAACTACATCTGAACATTTAATATAGTAGCATCCAATTAAAAGCAATTCTTATTCAAAAATCTTTCATTGGTTGAAGGCCAGCTCAATTGTTTCTTCTAATCATCCCCTAGATGGCGCCACTTTAGCCAACTGCAGCCAGCTTCGCCTAACGACAAAGCGACAACCGTCTCTGTGAGTTTGCCCCGGTCTAAGTGTTGAACTCAACGAACATTCTAACTGAACGAAACAAACAAATATTTTGTTGCATATTTTTAGGCAGTTTCTGACGACAGTTAAAATATTAATATTTACAAATTTTCATTTATGTTAATGTTGAAATTTAAAATAATTAAAATCATTAAAAAAATCGTAATAAAACAAAAATAGTTTCAGTATTAAAAATCGATCCTTTAATACCGGAATAAATGACAACAATTTATGCAGCATATATTTGGTCACTGTAGTAGACTTGTTCGCACAAGCCATTAAGTAAATTATTATACTTATTTTATAACTTATCTTATAATAAAAATAATAATTATTAATTAATTGATTTGGTAATAACAGCTTGCTATCGCCACTTAGCACTGTCCACTGTCTTGTCTGGTCAGTGCTATCGCTCGATTGCAGAGGTAAAAAGTAGCTGTACGGCAACGCCGGCAGCATGCAATCGATATGTGTATCGCTTAAACGAGTAGGCAACGCCAGCCGCTTATCGAGAATATGTTGACTGTGTGAAGAAGCATTGCAAGCACTATAGATTAGCATATAACTTGCAATAGATACATCAATACTCGAAACTGTGAAGATAATGTCGAAATTAAGTTTTGACTTAATCCCCGCAGCGCCTCGCAACGATATTATTGGGTTGCAAAACGTTATATCCAAACTAGAGGATCGATTGAGAAGCACAAATGAAAAACTTGGCAATTTGCGGAAACTAATCAGAACCGAGGCGAATATAAAATCTCGTAATATTTACTTAAATAAGGTCTGTGATATGGTGAAAGAACAACATAGAATGCAGAGCATACTGCACAATTACAGATCAAAGTTAAGAAAATTGGAATCCATAAAGAAACTGGTAAGGATAGGCATTTAAAAGCTTATTCTAAGTACCTAACTAATTATTTTTATCCTAAAGAAATTTGTAACGAAGCAAATTCCACAGCAAACAAAAAATTCAAAGCTACTCGAACTATTCCATAATTATGAGACGAAAGTAAGTAATAGGTTTCTCAAAATTTTTGACAGAAATTAATTTTAAAACATCTTAGGAAACCGGATGTGACACTCAGCCTGTTCGGAACTCTGAAGCACCAGTAAGTAAAATACCACCCTAAAAAAACTTAAATAACTATTTAGATATTATATAGAAGCGAACTATTTTGGATATGGGAGAGACTGTAAATATTAACGACAAACCAGCCAAGCAAATTATCATAGACAATCATGGTAAGGCAATGAAATGTTTGAAAGCTCATGTCAAAAAGCGCATTAGTGAGGAGGAACAGAGGCTTGTTGTTCCACAAATTGTTAAAGTGGAACAAGCCAAATATTCAGATGATGGTACCATAATATTGGAAGAGACGAAACCAGAGACTGAAGAGCTTCATATATCGCAAGAAGAGATGCATGTGGTTAAAACTGAAATAGATGAGGAATCGGAATGTATAAAAGAGACGGAACGAATGGAAGAGGAGAAACTAGAGCTGTCTGTTGAGGCTCCCCAAGCAAATACTATCGTGATAAACAATCACAGCGACGCGATGCTATGCCTAAAAGCTCTACAGGAGTATGCAATGTTAAATGAAAACTATCGAGCTATAGGACTTTTAACTGAAACTGAAAAGGCATTCGTAAGTCCAGCAGACGCCACAGACTTCGAGTTCTAGCATTGGGTATATAATAGTACGTCTATTTGAATGTGTTTGTGTAGGCTATTTATTTTAAGTAGCTTTAAGAAGTGATGTACATTTGTTATCTGGTGCTAGCAAGCACTCTGCACTTGCTTAATCGTAAATACAGAAAATATTTAATTTTATATTTACCTTAATTTAGTTTTTATTGCTAAGAAGCCACCGGTAAAAGTAAATGGGCAACCGTGGGATTTAGTATTATTCGAATCAGCTGTTTCTCTTCCAGTAGATTATGTGCATCAGCTGTTGACAACCATTTCTGTTTGGTATTTTTTTTAGTGTATTCTGTTATTGATAAACGGGCACACACGCATTTTACAGCTATAAACAAATTCTGAAAATTCGACATTTCTGCGAAAATGTGAGTATGCGTCTAGAAGTGTATTCTAGTCAAGCGGTAATTCGTTTTACTTATTTTTGTTTTAAAAGGAAGTAAATATTACGCAAGTTGCACATTATATTTATTCACTTTGTCGATAAGTGAATTTTGATTGAAAACAAATTATAACAAATGGATAAATCAACAGGAGACGAAATTGCTAAGCCGCCGGCTCCACGCAAACGTCTCGGCCGTCCGCCCAAGGCCAACGCACAAGAGTCTGAATTGACTGACGATATGGAACCGCCAGGCGAGGAGCGGACTTTGTCGGCATCGCCAACAAATTGCCGGCGAAGCACGCGCAAGAAAATCGTAAAGTTCGATGTGCTCGATGTACTCAACAAGAGTCGCAAAACTCACAAAATACAAATCGAGGCACGCATTGATTCCAATGCACCGTCAACAACAACAGCATCCACAACACAATTAGCAACGAGCTCGGCTACTGTGGCAAAACCAGCAATTGAGGTCAGTCGCTTATTTACACCACGCCCGCCTCCGCCTGTGATTTCGCCTTTGCTTTCGCTGGACATGTTTACCAAGCCGAAGCCAACGCCCAGCTTGATTGTTGCCCAGGTGAGCAGTGATAAGGCGCCCACTACCAATCAGCAACAGCAGCCGCAGCAACCACAGCAGCAACAGCAACAGCAGGTGATACGTAAACGTGGACGTCCACGCAAATCGCAGACAACAGATAATGCAATTGCAGTTGATTGCTCCAAAGTGAATATAGATTCTACCAAAATCTTGCCGAGCACCAAAGAACAAGTTCTTACTTTAAAACGGGAGTCGCCTGACTCGGATGAGTCTCTAAAGAGTTTCTCAATCATTGTCGATGATGAAACGAATGTTGAAGCAGTGCCTGAGGAAAACGATGCTTTGGATGAGACAATTGAAGTAATAGAGACTGATATTATATCCGTCGCCTCCGATGAGGATTCAGATTCGCAAATTATATTTGTGGACATTGAAACGGCAAAGATGGAAATAGCAGAAGAAGCAGAAAGTGACGATATCCATATTACAGCTGAAGAGACTCGTAACTTTAAGTTAATTTTTCCCAAGGAAGATGAAAATAAGGAAACAGAAATGCTTCAGCAGATTAATATTGCGGAGGATGTGCCAGGTGGAGATAATATTGATAAAAAGGAATCAGAACTCCTGGCTGAAGTCCTAAAAGGACCGGCAGAGCTTTGGTTTACCGATGATGAAAGGGATGAAGGCGAGCAAGAATCAAAAGAACTGCTAAATCAAGGTTTAATTAAAAGTGAGACTCCCGTACAATGCGTTGAGAAGGAAACTAAGACGACCTCTGACGCAGCAGTTAAAATTGAGCTACAGCCGGTAAAGGAAAAGCAAGAATTGTCAGCAGGAGACTCTATAGTTATGGACGACCTGAAAAAAAAAATCGTCGAAAAAGAGGCTCTGTTACCAAAGTCTTCATCTATGATAAGCAACGATGACAAGGCTAAGGTTAAGGAAGAGGAGCCAAAGGAAGTGAACATGAAGAAGGAGCTATATTTGCCAAGCTCATCAGCCACAATAGACAACGAAGATAGGATTACTGTTAAAATGGAAATCAAAACGATCAAGGAGGTCTCTGCAGCGATACAAGATAACAACGATAAGCCACACGAAGCTGTAAAACTATCAGAACAGCTAAAGCAGAGTGCAACTCCGACTTCTGCAAAAGAACCTGTCGAGAAGATGAAAGATGCCCACTTCGAATTGGAATCTCTGAGGCGTGCTGCACAAGCGACAGGCATTGAGTTAAAGCTTCCCATGACAATGGAAAAACTTTTAAATGCCAACTCTGTAACAGAGCCAGTAAAGGAGGTCGAATGGAAAAAGGAAACTATTAAGAAGCAACCAAGCTTGGACACGAATGTAACATCAGCAGCGACACTTGGAAAGACTGATTTGGGAGCAAAGCAACTACAACAGCACTCAGATGCAGTTAAATGCGAAGAGACAGAGTTAGATCCAAAGCTTAAATCAACCGAATCCACTCCAGATGAGCACAACTTAGAATCGGTGAATGCAAAACCAATAGCTACTGAGAAAGGGAAATCAAATGAAGTCCCCAAGTTAGAGAAGCCGTCAGCTGCGTTTGTCGAGTGCGATGCACTATTTAAGGTCTTGGATAAAGCAAACGAGCAGATGCGACACGAAGAGAAGGCCAGGAAGAAGTCGAAGCTGGCAACCAAAAAGCATTCAACCGAACAGCTGCAGGAACGGGCCACGCCTCAGTCTCGTGGAAAAAAGCAAACATCAAAGGAAAGCAGCCGCCGTAATACCATTTCCGAGGAGCGTCACGAGGATGTGAAATTGCCGCTAAGCAATAAACGCCGTAACTCGGTGCACCCTTTCAAACCAACGCTGAGCCCAGAGCGAGCTACGGAGTCAGAGCACAAGCAATGCAACAGCAGCGGCAGCAACAAAAAGAAGTCAGCTCAAAAAAAGCCAACTCGCAAGACAACAAAACCAAAGCAGCTGCCGAGCAGCCAGGATTCGCTGGACTCTAGTTCGAGCTCCTCGACAAGAGCTGGCGATTTGCCTAGTCGCAGCTTGCCGACGCCGACATCTGAGCTAGAGGCATCGAATCCGCTACACGACATAGCGAAGTTCATAGAGGATGGCGTTAAGTTGCTCGAGCGCGACTACAAAGTGGAGGATGAACAGCAGCAGCCACAAGAGGACGCAACTGAAGATGAGCTAGCGCAGCGAGTGGCTAATTTGGAAACTCCTGTTAACACGCCAGCTCCTTCACCGATTGGCAGCACGGATGACCTGTCAGCGGGCGTGCGCCGCTCGCATCGCATCAAGCAGAAGCCGCAAGGTGCCAAATCGAGTGTGGGTCGTGGTAGCAGCAGCCAAACACCCACCATTAGCATGGAGCAGCAGCTAAGCGAGCTTGCCCACATTGAAGCCATCAATGAGCAGTTCTTGCGCCAAGAGGGACTAAACACATTCCAAATTCTGCGTGACAATTACTATCGCTGTGCACGCCAGGTGAGCAAGGAGAACGCGGAAATGCAATGCGATTGCTTTGTCACCGGCGACGAGGAGGGACAAGGAACGCGTTGCGGCGATGGCTGCATCAATCGCATGCTCATGATCGAGTGTGGTCCGCTGTGCAGTTACGGTGACCGCTGCACCAATAAGCGATTCCAGCAGCATCAGGGCTGGCCCTGTCGTGTCTTTCGTACGGAGAAGAAGGGCTGCGGTATCACAGCCGAGCTGCAAATACAGCCTGGAGAGTTCATCATGGAGTATGTGGGCGAGGTGATCGACAGCGAGGAGTTCGAGCGTCGTCAGCATCTCTATTCGGAGGACCGCAACCGTCACTACTACTTCATGGCGCTGCGTGGCGAGGCGATCATCGATGCGACCACGAAGGGCAACATCTCTCGCTACATCAATCACAGCTGCGACCCGAATGCGGAGACACAAAAGTGGACAGTGAATGGAGAGCTGCGCATTGGCTTCTTTAGTGTGAAGACCATCATGCCTGGTGAGGAGATCACATTCGATTATCAGTATCAGCGCTATGGGCGTGATGCGCAGCGCTGCTATTGCGAGTCGGCCAATTGTCGCGGCTGGATTGGCAACGAGCCGGAGTCAGATGAGGGTGAGCAGCTCGATTCGGAGACCGAAAGTGAGCCCGAGTCACTGGCGGAGGAGCTACGCCCAGAGCAGGAGGCGAAAACCAAAACACCCAAAAGTAAAACTAAAAAACAACTTAAGCTGCCAACGGCACGTAAGCAGCGCAAAGAGCAGCCCAAGGCCAAGGATCGCGAATATAAAGCAGGCCGCTGGCTGCGTCCTTCCGGCGGCGTCGGAGGCGAGAAGTCGGCAGCGCGTAAACTGGATCAGCTCGAGGACACAGATGTGCTCGAGCAGTTAACACTGCTCAGTCGCAGCGGACTGAAGAATCAGCTGGACACATTGCGTCTATCGCGTTGCATGGTGCGGGCCAAGCTGCTGCAGAGTCGCCTTCAGCTGCTGGGCGTGCTAACGCGTGGCGAGCTGCCATGTCGTCGTCTCTTCCTTGACTATCACGGACTGCGCCTGCTGCACGCATGGATCAGCGAAAGCGGCAGCGATAAGCAGCTGCGTCTAGCGCTGCTCGAGTCACTTGAATCTCTGCCCATACCAAACAGGACCATGTTGAATGACAGTCGCATTTACCAGAGTGTAGAGCTATGGGGCAACCAGTTGGCACAGCCAGCAGAGGCAGCGGCAGAATCACAATCTGATGAGGAGGAATCGGTGCGTCAGCGCATTGCAGCGCTGCTACAAAAGTGGAATGGACTGCCCGAAATCTTCCGCATACCCAAACGGGAACGCATCGAGCAGATGAAGGAGCACGAGCGTGAGGCGGATCGCCAGCAACACGTGGCCACTGCTTTAGGGGACAGTAACAGCGCCTCTTCCGTGCTCAGCACCGATCGCTACAGACAAGATCGTTTTAGGCGCGACACCAGCAGCCGCTATGAGAAATCAAAGCCGCCAATTAGGATGAGCGGCAACAATACCATCTGCACGATCACCACACAGCCAAAGGAATGGCAAGGCTCCGCGGAGGGCAGCAGCGGCAGCAAATCTGAGGGTCGTAGACGCTCAGAGTTTGATCCGCGTCGAACTATATCCAAAGAGCTTCGGCGATCGCTCTTCGAGAGAAAGGTAAGAGAACCACAAGCCTGTGACTTTACTTTTAAATCTGTATTCCCTTTCTAGGTGGCTCAAGATGAGGCAGAAAAGCGTGTGGGCAGCGAGGATTGGCGTGAGCATGAGCTGCGCTGCGAATACTTCGGTGCAGATTTGAACACAGATCCAAAGCTGCTGCCATTTTACCAGAACACGGAGACCAATGAGTGGTTCAACAGCGAGGATGCTCCTGTCCCTGCACCATTGCGTTGCGGAGACGTTGCGGAGCCACCATCACCGGAACATGAGGAGGATGTGGAGTATAAACTACCCGCTGGCGTAGAGCCATTGCCACCCTCGTGGCACTGGAGCTTGACACCCGAAGGAGATATCTACTATTATAATCTACGTGATCGCATACCGCAGTGGGAGCCACCGAACGCTGAACAGCGTTTGCAACAGCTGGTGGAGGATTCACCAGAAAAGGAATTGGTGCCGGATGAGGCAGCCAGTTCATCGGATTTGGTTAACATTGACATCGACTATGTGGGCAGCCTGAGCGCCAAATCTCTTGCCCAGTACGTTGAGGTAAAGATACGGGAACGTCGCGAGATGCGACGCAATCGCTTGGTATCTGTGCGCGTGATAAGTCCACGTCGTGAGGAGGATCGTCTCTATAACCAGCAGGAGTCACGCAAATACAAGGAGAATAAAGAAAAGATACGCCGCCGCAAGGAAATTTATCGACGCACACGCACCGAAACAAATACTGCTCAACCAGCAGCTGGAGAGCCCAGTGATTCGCTACCTATTCATGGGTATTTATACTCCTCCGATGAGGATGGTGCCACTGAAGGCGCCTGCAGTCTACCGTTGATAGACGCGAAAGTTGATGGCGATAATGAGTTGCCGGAGTCAATAAGTCGTCGTCGCTCACAGCGTGCATCGTCGCCATATTCCACCAGTTCCACAGACGCGGCAGAGTCGTTGCCAAGCGCTAAGCGCAAGCTTCTTGTGACCGAGAGCCAAAGGAAGCATCGGGATAGTAAGCGCAAGAGGTAAGCTAACTATTCGTTCATTAAACTTTATACTCAAAGCTTCTTTGCATCTCTAGTTTGGCAACTGGGCGCGAAGCCAGCGAGAAGTTTCACTTTGAGATTAGCGGCCATGTGGCCGAGTTTTTGCGTCCCTATCGCCAAGAGAATTGCCAGCTGGGCCGTATTACAAGCGATGAAGACTACAAGTTCCTAATTAAGCGAGTAAGTGTGATTGTTTATAATATTATAAACTACGTCTAATGGTTTTGTTTTTTTGCAGCTGAGCCATCACATAACCACCAAGGAGATGCGTTACTGTGACATGACCGGCAATCCATTGGCCTGCACAGAATCGGTTAAGCACAAGTCCTACGACTTCATTAAACAATATATGCGCAAGAAAGGTCCCGTCTACAAGAAGCCAGTTGATAAGCCCGACTAATTCGTACACTTTTTCATACAACAATATTTTCCTTAAAGCTTTTGGCTTATAAATATTAGCATAAGCAGTATACAATGTATATCAAATGGATTTTTTTTTTTAATTTTACCTCGTGTTGGGTAAAGCAACTTTAATGTTAATTTTACTTATGCATCAAATGTAACTGAATACATTTTTTTTTTATTTTCATGTGCCAAAGCTAATAAATTTATTATTGGTGTCAATGAAAGGGCACTCAGGTATAATACATATGTTTGAATTTATGTGTCTGCTGGAAAGTCTGGACCATAATTGTTAGCTCCTAGGTTTATATTTTAATAAATTTATCAAACTCTGCAAAAGAAAAGAAATAAATGAAGTTCCCCATCCCTTACACTGAAACACGTTTATTTTATTGTTTTAATCTTAAAACTGTTTTTTACTTTACATCAAAAACTTTTATTTCAGCCCTCTTTAAGTTAGTTTAAAATTAACAGAGCTAAGGTAACTCACATCTTAAATTTATTAATTTATAACAAATGCTCAACAAATAATTTGATGTAAAGTGGAAACCAATTATCAACTCGATTACGCACTTTATTGAATTTTTGCAAGCACACAACAAATAATTTAAATGCATTTGTCGCCCCCATTCGCAGCTCTGCTTACACACACTAAAAATAGCAACAAAGGGAAGCGCGCGCACACACACGCATTGAGGTAGGCACCTGCGCATGTATGGCACACATTCACGATCAGAGAGCGACACCGAGTAGAAGAGAGCGAGAGAAAACAGAGCAGGGCGCTCTCTCACTCTCCGTAAACAAGTTTTCAGAACTCGCCAAACCTGATTTTCCAGCCGTCTCAGAGAGATTGCAAACCTCGTCAGTTGCAACAAATTGCTGCTACGCTTGACACGTTGTGAGCGGAACGCTATTTACCGGATGGTTGCTGTGTGCCTAAAAACCTGCTGCAGATTTCGATAATAGCAGGTAAGCGTAGTTCTTATCTGAAACCAATTGGATAAGCACGTCAATTACTGAACTATAAACGAAATCGAATTGTTTTTTTATTTCTTACAGGCGTTGCCATATCAGCGTGTGCTCGACTGCGTTAGAGAAGAGCCAGATATTGAGAGTGAGAGAAAGAGCGATAGCGTGGGCGAGAGCGGAAGCGAGAGAGTGAGAGCGCATGAGAGATTTCGTTAGTTGTTGGTGTGTGCGTGAGCGTGCGGAACAGAGCAAATGTCTGACGTAAGTAGAAAAAGCAAACAAAAACAGTTCATCAAATTGTGAGGCGGTAATTTCATACTAGAGCAACTAGTAGACATACATATTTATCTGATCAGGTTTAACCGGAAAAGCATTGAAAGGTTCGCAATATATCTAATTTCAAACGAAAACAAATGCATTAATGTGAGAACATACTAAAAGAATTTCAGCCTTTCAATAACATAGCGATGTTATGATTTCAGGACGATGCCAGTTCATTTGGAGCTGGCTCCCAGCGCATACGCAACGTCTTGACCCTAGAGGAGCGTGTGGAGGTTATACGTCAATATGATATCATGCCCATGTACAGCAAGTTAGCCAAGAACTTCAATTGCAGCTGGGAGCAGATCAAGAGCATTGTCACCAATCGGGTGCCCATTATGGAATTCTATGAGGCAACGCGTCACAACAACAAGAAGCCACCGAATTCCAAGTTCGAGGAGTTGCGCAGGCGCAAGATCAATTTTCTTGGGCATTGCCTCTATGAGTATATACAACGCGCTCAGTTTTATCTTCACGTGGACATCACCGAGGAGCTAATACGCACCAAGGCTCTAGATTTTCAGAATCTGATGGGCTTTGAGAACTTTGTGCCCAATAAGGTGAGATCTGGAATGAAGGTGTATGCATTTGATTGAGCTCATCTCTCTCTTTCTCTCGTTCTCTTCATTAAAGTCCTGGATCAATCACTTCAAGGCTGCCTACAACATCACACTCTCAAATCGTCAGATTATCATGACGCGGAAGCCACCGCGCTCGATGGATCTGCGGGATATAATGTCCTACTGTTGCAAGAATATGCCTTCGGATTGCGCCAAGTTACCTGACTTGCCTGCACCTGCCCATGTGGCGAACAACAGCACGCAGCCGGCAGCAATGCCGCTGCAGGTGAACGTGCCAGCCACAACTGGGCCGGAGCCCATGCAGTCACCGCGAAAGCGCGACAGTTGTGGGACGGCCAAAGACATACGCTCCTTGTATCGCACTAAGACTCTGGTTGAAGCTTCTACTCAGAACCAGGCCACATTGGACGAGCTCCAGCTGCGGCGCAAGCGTAAAATTAACTTTTTGGAGAAGGCGCTGTTCGAGTACATTTCGCGCTCGCAGCTCCACCACAAAAACCAGGGACGCCTCGATGTGGATCATCTGCGCGAAGTGGCGATCAATTTACGCGACATACTCAAGATTGATAACTTCTTTCCGGATCGCACGTGGTTCAATCACTTCAAGAGCCACTACAACTTTAGCTTCTCTCAGGGCGTGCACTACGGCATGATGCTGCGCCGAGTGCCCCTCTCTCTGGATCTACGTGACATAGTCAGCTACTGCGGCAGGCACGAACAGCGCGACCAATCTATGGGAAACATCACACTGACACCCAAGGAGCCAGAGTCGGCCCGTTTAGTGCAACTGCCACTCGCGGACCCAAAGCCGGCGGCACCAGCCAATGAACCAAATACAGCAGTCGAGACCGACGATGACTGCATAGCCATTGATGAGCCGCCTGAACTGATCGAAATCAAGGATGATGATGAGGAGCCAGACAGAACTGAGCTCAAGCGTCATGCTGCTGAAGATTCCATGCCTAGTCTACCTCTAAAGATACAAAAGATTGAATCATTGAATCCCGGTGCGCACAGCCTGGGTAACTTTTCCGAAGAAGGCGCCGATGCGGCGCCATTGCCACGGCGCGTGACTAACTATAAGGATGCACTGCGTCTGCTGAAGCCACTCGAGGAGTTTGCACTGCTGGAGGAGAACTATCGTGCCATTGGCCTGCTCACTCAGCTCGAGAAGATCTTCGAGGGGGCAGTGCAACAGGTGCAGAATGACAAATAGAGTTTTGATACTTGCAAATGAGAACTTTAACTGAAATTTGAACCAAAAAATGAGAATGTTAGCTTAGTTATGTATAACAGATCTATATATATAGTATATATGCATATGATCACAATGTATTAAGAGCTTTGCTCGCTAAAAGTTGGGAGCATTAAGCATAAAGCTATATTAAAAGTTTATTTTTGTTACAAATACCAAAGTTTTTACTAATGAGATGAGGGTTGTTTGGTATGTTTTAATTTCAATAAATTATAGGCATATATTCCAAGTCTTAGTCGTACATTTATTTCTAATTCTACGCTCGTAAATAATTCATTAAACGTTAAGTAAATGGAAAAGTCATATTTTGGGCTATAACCGGTTGGTTTCACAACTGGTTTATAGTATTTTGGCAGTTTGCTTTATAGTTGCGTTCTAATTCTCATCGAATCTGGTTTCTGGTTGCCATTAAAAGTCATATAACATCTATATTCGATTGATTAATGGCCTCTTTAATGACTCTGGCTCAGTGAAGGTCGAATGATTTGAAATCAGTGAAGTGTGGCTTATACCCAACATTCTAGATGAATGGTTTGCCCATATACCTGCATATAAATTTGTATTCATCAAGCATAAGTTGATAAGGGAGGTCGTTTTAATGTATTATTGGATTTACATGGATATATAATATGTGCATATATTGAACACACTATATAGACCAGCTAGATTATGGCTACTCGAGTGTCTCGTCACGTGGCACTGTGCCACATTCACCCACCAAGGTGCAATGCACACATGCTTCTCGGTTTACATAAACCGTTTGGCCCTTTGCGAACGAAACATACAATCAGCGCTTAAACTTTACGTTCATCCTGTAAAACTTTACGCGTCCTGGCCATTTGTAGATGGGAGCAGAAAATGACCTGCGGTAGTAATGGGCGGACCAGCTAGGGGGCTGGGCGAGCTCTGCCGCAGGACTTGGCTTGGCTGGGTAAGTTGATTTGGCGGGTGAGCGAGCGAGCATTGAACGTGCGTGGAGCGAAGCGCTGTAGGTGGTACATCAATTTCAGATGGCTAGAATATCGCAGCAGGCAGCGGGACAAAGGGGAGTGTCTGTCCGACACTCCAGCAGCCTGGTTAGAGACAGACTCACTCACTCACTCACTCACACACACGCACACACTTACACAAAAACACACAGAGATACAGCTATGCTTACATAGATGGAGCTACGATTACACAACCGTCCATATAGCTGGGAGCATTGCACAGAGGATGCCTTCATCGCACTCGGTTGAGCCAAAGTTTCGTTTTTCGCTTTTGCCTGCAACCCTCCTCAGCGAGCAGGACTTTCATTTCAAGGATTTCCGAACCGACGTCAAGCGTCAACCAAGGCTCCGACTATACACGTTAAGAGTATAGAGAATGTAGCTATAGAAAACCCACTAGTGTTTGGTTGTAGGTGCGGCGCAGGAACCTTGCGGCATCAAGGCGATGAAAGTAAGGAGGTGGAGGAGGAGGAGGCGACGCAGGAGGAAGAGGTCGAGAAAGCAAGGTGATGAATACGAAGCGGAACAGAAGAAGCAACATCAATGCAAAAACGACAACGACAACTGGAGTCGAGTCAGGTTACTGCTTGGAATAAAAATTGAAGCCCCACTCAGTTCGTAGTTCTGACATTTTATGTCAGCTGGCCAAAACGAAAGGGACTTAAAGGCATAAAACTTCATATACATATGTACATATAAAGCACATGTGAAGGGTAGTGCTACCTGTATTCAGGGGTGGGCACTGCTGTTGAGGATTATACTGCGAGGATAGTAAAATGAGACTTATGCTGAGCCAATTTCAGAATAATGATCAGCTTGCGAGAGCTATGACGGCGCTAGCTGATAGGTACTCTTCGATTCATCGATATTATGGCATTTCCTGCACCAACTATTACACAGTAGTTTCATGGAAACCTTAACTGGTTTTCGTTTATAATATAGCATATTGACTCATATTTGCATTTCAGTCATCAACTTATTTTAATGCACTTTAATTCTCCAT